GTGGCCGAAGGAGGGTCACCCAGAGAGTGCTGCACAGGACCTTGTCCAGGCGGGTCTTGAATATCTCCAGAGAAGGAGACTCCACAACCTCCCTGGGCAGCCTGGACCAGGGCTCCGTCACCCTCAGAGGGAAGAAGTTCTTCCTCATGTTCAGACGGAACTTCCTGTGCCTCAGTTTGTGCCCGTTGCCCCTTGTCCTGTCACTGGGCACCACTGAAAAGAGCTTGGCCCCATCCTCCTGACACCCACCCTTCAGATATTTATAAGCATAAATACAGTAAACCTTTCTGCTCCTCCTGTTCAAGGAACTTTAAACTTCCAGTCGCTCCTGATGTTAATTTCCACGGGGCAAAGGGAATAAGCTTTTCTGAAATGTACTCAAGTACAAAGAAGTTTCACACAAACTTCTAAGTAGCGCAGCTCCCCTCCGGCAAGCTCAGGGTACCTAACGCAACGGTTCGAGCATCCTCCCATGCGGAGTCAGCAGTCTGGGATGGTAACAGCCTGGCAAGGCAGGACGCCGAGGCTTCTCCCAGCTTCATCTCCAGCGAGCTGCTCCAGACAGGGCTAGGCATGCAGCGGGACCGCTCGGGGGGTGGCTCGGGCTCTTCTCAGCTCCCACTGAATGCCAGTGGGAAGAGGTTTGAAATAAGGTACTTTAAGAATAATGCATACTCACTAGGGTCAATTAAAAGTCTCCAGAACGCTGCCTGGACAAACTCCACGTATTCAACAAGTGACAACCAAGTGTACCCCCCCCCCCCCTCATCCAGCCTGCCGACTGCTTCAGGCTAGCCTGCCCCAAACAGCGATCGCTATCTCGAGTCACAGACCTTAAACCTGCAGACGCAACCAAGCCTGAACAATAACCAAGTATTTGAGAAGCGGAGAAATCGGCACAAAATATAAAAGTATTAAATTATGTTTCAGATTCGGACAAGTTTTGCCCAGGACCTCTTCTCGGCCAGCAGCCCCCCAAACGGAGGGGCCAGGAGGCAGATACAGGACGTCCCTACACTTACACAGCTGCTTCGGCCTTCTGGTTCTGCTTTTAACCCCCAAGAGCTCTGGTGCAGATCTCTACCTCCACATGAGATACCACAAAAATACTTGAAAAACCTTCTTTTCGAAAGCCTTCTGGACAGCTGCTTCACTAGCACCATGCCACGACTGATAACGAAGCAGGAAAAAACAGTATACGGTTTCGATACCGTAGTATAAAATAGTTTAATTACAGTCAGGGCTGCCCGAACACAGTGCTTAGACTTCCTTCTGCTCGGGGCTTTTTTAATTCAAAAGGCAAGACCCGCATATCTCAAATCCATCCAGATTTTTCAACAAGACAAGACTGTGCTGCTACTTCTCTTGCATCGATTTGTGCCCGCGGTGAGCTTTGCAAAGACAAGCCCCACGGCAGCAGACAGCAGGGCTAAGGAAAGGCAGCAAACGCCAACAGACAGGGCTCCTCTTACCGACATCCTTACGGAATTCATTCGTCTCGTTAAAACGAGCGCTTCCCAAAGCATCCAGAATCTGTGAGAGCGAACGCTTTGCACAGGGTAAAGAGCCTGCAGGGAGTCTTTAGGACATTGTTTTATTGCCACTTTATCTCAGAAGGGTTTCACAGAATCACAGAATGGTAGGGGTTGGCAGGGACCTCTGTGGGTCACCCAGCACAACCCCCTGCCCAAGCAGGGTCACCCAGAGCAGGCTGCACAGCACCGCGTCCAGGCGGGGCTGGAATATCTCCAGAGAAGGAGACTCCACAGCCTCCCGCGCTCGGTCGGGCCACAGAGGGATTCACCGGGAAGCGCTCAGATCGCGCACCGATCCTCGCCGCAAAAAAGCCAAATCCTGGATCCGCTCCAGCTCCTCCGCCCCCGCTCCGAACACAAACACCCCGCACGCCCGGCCCGCTTCCACGCCGGCGCCCGAACCGGGAGAGGCACCGAGGCGAC